AAACCAAGTATAAATATTGCTGGCAGTGCCACAAAGTGGCCCACCAACTGAGGAAAAATTAGCTGAGGCTCAAATCCAGATGCCTGAATTAAAAAAATTGCTACAAATCAGACAAGAACTGAGCACTGGATTCTGGTTTGGATATATATCAAACTAACTCCAAGGTGACAAAATGTTATTCCCAAATGTCACCTATTAAAACATCCTAAATAACCAGTCCAGTCAGTTCTTCACTAGGTTCTAAAACAAAATACAATCTTACTATTTTACAAATGTTTGTCTATTTCTAAGTGAAGATGTACGATGCTTACTTCACTTGAAAGGTCCAGACTTTACAATAGAGGTATGTAAAGAAGAGGAGGGGCTCAACCCGAGCATGAACCGCCACTGTATCCATACCTACCTGGTTTTCATGACGCATATCTTAAGCATCAACACAGATCATGAGCATTTCTTTTTCTTTTTCTTTCTTTTTTGTTTTTAGCTTAAGTGGTCTGCATCACCACCACTCCTTGTGGGCATGACAGGGATGATTAGAGGGAGCAGAGTGATGATGAAGCAGAATTAGGATTCCCACGACGCGCCACATTTCCTTTACATGCCTTTTTGTAAACGCCCCCCTCCCCCCCCCTCTTTATTGTAACAGCAGCGGCTGCCCGGTTCATCAGCGGATGTCTCCTTTTGTCCCACTGACACGGCGCGGCTCTGACTGCACACCGGGTCTGCTCCTTTAAATGAGCCTTTGCGCAGAGCATCCGAATCACCACAACTGCATCAGCGCTGGGCTGGGTTGCTTAGCAACTGGACAGCACAGAGATCCCTGAAGAAAACCTCCTTCCTCTGCTTAAAACTCAAGTCTGTGTGATTCTCGGGTTGTCGGTGTGCAGCCTGCTGTAAGAGAGTTTCTGGTCCAAACAGACGACCAAAAAAAAAAAAAGAGCGCGTGATAATAACATCAGATCAAACTGAGAGAATCCTGTCTGTATTCCTGTGTCTGAACGCGCGCGTGCTGTATGCTTGTGTGTGGAAGTGGGCGCGTGCCTGCGTGTGAGTGCCGTGCTGTGAGAATGTGGCAAAGTGAAATAAGCGCATGGAAACGCACCGGCGCACACTACGAGCACTTTAATGGCTTTTAGGGAGAGAAAAAAATCCAGCGCATGAACAGCCTGTCGCCAAGGAATTCACCTTAGGTGTCCCCACCTTTCCCCTCCTCGAGCCCTCCTCCCTGTCGGATATTGTTTTAAATTAAACTAAGGAAGCACACAAGGTTTCTCCGTCATGTCATTCTGGACGAACGGAGCATGCTAAGGTGTCCATACGCCATTTATCGGCGGCCAGCGGAGGCAGGAGTACTTTTCGAATGCGTCTCTTCGCTGTGGACGCATGTTTTGGCATTAAAAAAAAAAAAAAAAAAAAGAGGGGGGTGGGGGGAATCCATATTTCTCGGCATGTACTTTTTTCCCTTAATTTCTTCATCAGAGGGGTGATATAGCCTGCTCTGACGTCTGCATCAGATATTACCCAGTGCTATTTCAATGTGCATTTTCCCCACAGTGACTTTGCGCTGATCTACATCATCATCATCATCAGCGGCAGCAGCAGCGGCGGCGGCGGCAGCAACGGGGGGGAAGGAACAAGAAGAAGAAGAAGCAGAAGAAAAAAAAAGGAATGAAGATTTCATTTTTCTTTTCTTTTTGAACCCACCGCTCTCTCCCCCCCCCCCCTCCCCTTCTGCAACCCCACACCCCCCCCCCCAC